AACAAGCAAGGGGAGGGGGGTGCTGGGGGAGGGGGCGCATCACACGTCCTGGCAGAGCACAGATGACACAGGGACAGAAAGGAAAAGCCCAAGAAGGTGCAAACTGATGGGGTCACGAGTGACAGCACACAGACCAGAGAACTGGAAAGAAGCAGAAGATAGAAGATTAGAGAGAAAGTAATAAAATCAGTGGCATGCACTTAAAGAAAACACAGGTTAGTGAGGCTGCAGCACCACGTGCAGGGCAGTACAGTCCTCCCTCCCTCACAGCACAGCAGTGCTGCCGGGGGCCTCTGGAAACAAGACCTGAGCCCTGGCTGCCACCACGGCACTGTGCCTGCTCTAGCACCTGCGGAACAGGGACCCCAGGAAGACCAGATCATCTGGGGGATCTGTGGGAGCAGGAACGGACCATCCTCATCTTAACAAAAAGGAGCACGTCACGGTGACTGACTGATCCCTAATGCCCAAACAAACGAGGCCTCAGCCCCATGCAAGGGTTAAGCAAGGAATCAGCCAGACACTTCTCTAAGAACTGAGTAAAAAGCTACAACTTGGTCTCAGAAGCAAAGTGGACCTGAGGACCTGGTCTGCAGAACTTAAAACCAGTCACACTGGATCTGATCACTGAAAAGCAAGACAGCTGCAAGTAGCTGCTCCTCGTCGTGTACTCTTACCTCGAAAGGCTCTCCCTTCAGCAGTTCATCTGCCAGGAACAAAACATGCTTAGAAGAGACTGCAAGTCTGGAACGCAGGGATCTCTCTCCTGCCCACAGTGGACAAACCCACTGTACTCAACACCCATGAACCCTTCTGCAGTGTCATGCAGAACTTGTACTGTGCCCTGAGCAATTTCAACGAACTCCTAACTAACCAAGAAGCACAGTCTGGTGTACAGGAATGTTACAGGAGCAAATCACAGGATCATTAAAAAAGATCCTGCCCCCTCCCCTGCCATTTTTCAGATTTCTTTATCTGCTGGCAACAGGAACAAGTTGACGGAAGACCAGAGTCCTGAGGCACGCTGTGACACGAGCAGTGTCCCTGCAGCAGCTTTGCCTCCAAGGTTTGCGCAGGCAACATTGCGTTTCTCCTTTCTACACCCAACTTAAAGCTGTTACTACAGGATTCCTTGGGTAGGGTGATGCTCAGGAGGAATCAGAGCCCACACAACCTCATACAGCCTGCCCCATCGTATGAGGGAACAGGCACGGGAGGCAGAGGCACGAGGGACAGTCCTGTGTGCCTGCCTGGGAGGGGCTGACAGAGCAGCCTCTGCCCTCTCCCCGCACAGTGACGTTGATTGTCAGAGGAGAAGCCTGACAGACAACTTGGGGTTTGTAGGCTCAGATAGAACAGTGGAGCTTTAATTTTTTTCAGGTGCAACGACTGAGCAGCAATGCCCTGCAAGTTGTCTACTGACGGCACTGTGGTGCTGACACAGCACCGCATTGAAAAATGAAAATAATTTTTAACGCTTCCAATGCTCACAGCCTTTCTGCGAGACATGGAAGTGCTGTTACAACCCTCTCTCCATGCTCCTGGAGCTCAGAGGGACTCGGTGATCTGTCCAACGTCACAAGGAAGAACAGGCCAGAGCAAGGATTCGGGTCTGGTCACCTCAGTCCCAGCCAGCCTCCTCTGAGCCATCCTAAGTAACATTTGGCTCCCCAGCACCTACGCAGCTTCCAGCCCTGTAACACAAGGGCAATGTGTCTGTTTTGGCAGGTATTGTTTAAAGCTTCTGTTCCACTGGTACTTTGGTAAAAGAGTTATTCCTGGCTTAATGTGAAAATACGGAACTTCCATTTGCCAATGATGCCACCTAAAAAGTTGTGACACAGAAAGTGTGGGAACAGCATCACCCAGACTAGGCGTGAGATGCCAAATACAGCAGAAGATTCCATGAATCAGAGCAGCAGACAGAATCCCACAGTAACTGGAGCGTGAAACAACAGCACAGGGTGGAAACAATCCCACCCGAGGACACTGTCAGCAGCCTGACTGGTCGCTGGGCTGGGACACAGGCAGCCCTGCTAGTGGGGAGGAACTGGGGGAGGAGAGATTACCCAGTGTGGACTCAGAGCAATTCAGGCTGGAAGGGAACCCTGGAGGGCATCTGACCCAACAGCAAAGCAGGGCCAGCTTCAAAGGTCTAACAAGGTGCTACAGGATGTCAGAAATCAATCTCTCCCAAATCAGTGCTCCGCTTCCCAGTGACCTGCTCAGCTTTCTGACATCTCAGGGCAGTGCAGTGAAACTATGGCAGTGCTTCAGCAAAAAGACTCCAACAAAGGACTCGTCCAAGGCAAAGAGTTGGAGCATACCAAGAAAGTTTTCCCTGAAGGGCAAAAGCCCTGGTACTAGGAATGTGAGTCCAGCTCTAAATGAACCACGAGCAGATCTGTTACAGTGATCAAGTAACAACGGGAACCCTTGTACCCCCTCACTGAGGACTCCACTATGTATTTCTTCACCCTCAGCCCCCCCCTGAAGATGACAGCACCATTATCACCCATGTCTGAGCACGAGCACGGGAACTGCCAAGTGGTGTCACTCACGGTAATCCCTCCGGTGACTTATCTAGCAGGCTGGCAAGGATGAGTCACTAGCAGCCCTGTTCCTCTAAAAGCTCTCACTCAAACCCCAAAAGAGACTGTTTCAGATTGTCCTCTGAATGCTTCCTACAGGAACATTATGGGAATGAAACTATAATTAGTTACAGGAGCAGCCTGACTAATTTTTGAAAGGAATTATAAGACACTGTAAATGCCTGGACTAGCTTCAAGTCTTTAAGTTCTGAACTAGAAGTTCTCTTCCTTCCAAAACAATTTTTAATCACTCTTTCATAGCTGATGAAACAGCTTGTGTGGATAAGAGTGCCCTCATCTTGCCGATTTCTTGGCTTTGGCAAGTTTTCCAGTCTAGCAGCACTGGGTATGTGAAACGTTCTTTCCCTTTTTCATTTTGAATATGTCACCTTGCAGCTTCAATAAATACCATCTTTTTCATGTGTAACAGAGAATGTGGCCAGTTGTGTGCTGAGAGGGAAGGAACAGGTTCACCATCACATCAAGGTGTTCAAGTCATGTTTTTATAGAACTCCCCTGACTCTGTGACTGCGCAAGGACCGTTGAAATGCAGAGACACCTCACCCGTCGCTGCCGGGAGCGGATGAGCTCAGCCAAGGGGCAGGTGCTTTGCACTGTTTGAGCAGGCACTCCGTGACCTCCCCTAACATCTGACTGAGGAAGGATTCTTTGTTCCCTGCTTTGGACACCATCTAACCCAAAAGACATGCAGCAGGTCCCCCGTTCCTGAACCAGCCTAGTAAAGAGAACAGCAAAGGTTCTTCTGACTCACCGTGCTGCCCTCCACATGGCTCGTTTCTCTGCCTCCAGAGCACGACGTTCTGCTGGGGAAAGCTCCTTCTCTTGACCACTCAGCAGCTCAGGACTCTGCATCCGCAATCGCTCCTGGTGCCGCCGCTCGGCTTTGGCCGTCCGCACAGGTGCCACGGGGTCCCCCGCCCCGGGTTGTGATGGACTCAACCTGGGCACAGCAACAGGCAGAGGTGGGCTGGCCTGTCCACCACAGCTCTCACCTGCCTGCTTTCAACATACAAGGTGATGACCGACACCCCAGGCAGCTGTTGAGCACCACATCCAGGGACATGCCCTCGGACGGACACACACAGACCCGAGTTGTTCTTAAGAGGTTGGCTCTGAGCACAGTTCCCCCTTCCCCGTGAAATCCTTCCTTTTACACCCCATGTCTGCTAAGAAGGAGTCATCTGCTCCATCACCTGGCAGCAGAGGATGCTGCTGACCCACTCACCCAGACGTGGAGTTGGCTCTCTGCTCAGCCTTGATGCCCTCTTCCAGGGAGTTCCTCTGTGAGCTGCTGCTCTCGCCGAGCTCCGAGGGCCTGCAGCAAAGCAAGGGGGTGGGCTGTCAGCCCCCCGGGCCCGGCACGGCCTCGCGGCGGCCCCGAGGCCCAGAAAGCAACAACCAGCTCACGGTTTGAAGACACAAGCCTTAAGGACTTTGCTCCACAGCTCCTGCATTGCTGCGAGCGCTTCCCCGTTGACTTCAGAAATGTTCACACTAACACCAGGACTCCTTTCCTTCGTTTAAAGGTCAACCATCCACTCACACACACTTGCCAAATGTCGGGCAAGTTCTTGCACATTCTGGGTCTCTCCAGGTGCCATTAGTGACGCGCAGCCTGGCTGCCCCCAGCTTTCCCCTTTGCTGATGTCACATAAGCGCAGCGTTAAGGAAGGGCGGCCCCCCGGGGGTGTGAGCGGACGGGCACCCGGGCGGGGGACGGAGACGGATCCCAAGCGACCTCAGAACAGCCAGGCTCAGGGCAGCTGCCCTACACACAACTGCCTGACACGTCAGGCTTTCTGCTTCTGACCAAACTACTGTCACCAGCCCTTGAGCTGCACCTGCAGATACTGCTCGCTTTGGCCTGTAATGGAAGGAGGTCACACAAGCCTGTTTCCACAGGTTCAGGACATGCACGCTGTGGCTCAGCTGGCAGTCAGAAAAGTTTATCATGACTCTGAGCCCTTATTATTACTGCTCAAGTTTATTTTGATTAAATTTCACTTTCTGTTCTAGCGTGACAAAAAAAAAAATTGAAGAAATGCAAATTCAGTCTATTCTGCTGCCATGCCTTTGTTCAAGCATAAATAATAAGCAAGTGCAAGTCCTGTGATAGATGCCTAACCTCCCACGCGTCAGTATGAGAAGAGCAGGGATAAGCAGGCCTTCACATCAAACCAGGCAGCTGGTCTGCACCTGGCTGCTGTCCCTCCTCAGAGCTGCCCTGCCTGCACCGGAGGTGGAAGGGCTCCGTGCATTCATGTGTGAGAAGTTCCTCAACAGAGACTGGGCAGAAACTGGGGAGAAATGAGATTCAAAATGACAGGGTAAGTGTTTTCAGCCACTGTAAGGCTGACCATAGAAGTGTTTGTGAAGAGAAGAATGTCTGTACCAAAGACTCAGAAAAGAGAGTCAGATAAGGACAGCTTCAGCTTTACCCTAGTGCAGCATTACTTTTATCTGAAGTCTTATGAGAAGCCTTTTCTCATATCAATCAGAAAAACAACATTAATGTAACCTGGAGGATAAGTCCAGGAGAACCAGGAAAGAAAAGCCAAAAAACCCCAAAACCTTGGTTCAGCATCAGGGCTTATCTTGAATTCGTTGTCTCTAAAAATAAACATCTCTACACACCCAAGTGCACAGCTGGAGGATCTGTTCTTCTGAAAAGGAAGAGCTGGAAAATCCTGCCCATTTCTATGCTGAAGAGGAGATACTGCTCAGCTCTCTCCCCTGAAAATTACTGATCCCGGGACACCTCTGACACACGGGGGTGGTACTGAGCTACCAGTCTTGTCTTACCGAGTTGCTGGAGCCTGGACGTTCCTCCCATTTAGTCTCTCGATCTTATACTCAACTCCTTCAATGATGACACTGGACTGCACGCTCACCTCCGGCACCTGTTTTATCATCTCATCCTCTTCTGCCTCCTCCTCCAGTAGGAGGGTACGTTTCTGCTGCAGTTTTCGAGCTGCCAAAAGAAGACAGATTGGTACCACAAAGCACTTGCTAGACCCCCACAAGGATGCAGCCTCCGGGCAGGTCCTTACGGTTGTCGTCCCTCCAAGCCTGTGCTGCTTTAAATCCATGTTTCTCCTCCACTGCACTGATGCTTCAGGTGTAACAAACTCAACCCAATCCCTCCGTCCCTCCTTCCTCACTCACTAAACTCCCATTCCTGGACACTACAGGACTGATTTCTGACCATTCATCACTGAGAGCGCTCATCCTCAAACTGGAAGATGTGTGTGGAGCACAGAGCCCCAGGAACCTGCACACACGAGTGGGGGCTGATCATCCCCTCGTCCTGTGAGGGACCAGAGCCTGGGGAACCGCCAGGCAGGCAGACGGGGGCACAGGAGGAACCGGCACAGGGGGCAGCCTGCTCCACACAGGCGACCGCTCACCAGCGGCGCTCCCGGGGCTCCATTCCAGGGCCAGCTCTGCTCAACACTGATCAAGGCTCTGGATGTGGGACCTGAATGCACTGTTACAAGTCTGCTGGTGATACTCAACGGGGAGGTGCTGCTGCCTCTCTCGAGGGACATGAGGCCTTGCAGAGGGATCTAGATAGACTGGAGCATTGGGCAATCATTAATGGCACGACATTTAACAAGAGAAGTTCCCGGTTCTCCACCTGGGAGAGAGTAACTCTGGACACGAGTACGAACTGGGAGAGGGGTGGCTGCAGAAAGGGCGCTGGGGGCGCTGGGGGGCAGCAGCTCGGCAGGAGCCAGCCCTGTGCCCGGCACCAGGAGGGCAAAGAGCATCCCGGGGGCATCCACCCAGCACGGCCAGTGGCCAGGAGAGGGGATCGTCCCGCTGTGTCCGGCGCTGGCGCGGCCGCACCTCGAGTCCTGCCTGCAGGTCTGGGGCCCTCCACTGGAGAAGGGTGTGATGGTCCCCGAACGTGTCCAGAGGATGGCAGGAGAAGTGGGGCAGGGCTGGGGGGCAGGTCCTGCCGGGGGCGGCCGAGGGCTCTGGGTCTGTCCAGCCGGGGCACAAGGAGCCCGAGGGGTGACCTCAGGGCTCTGCAGCTCCCAGGGAGGGGACAGGGACAGGGGGGTGCTGAGCTCTGCGCCCTGGGCTCCAGGGACAGGGCACGGGAACGGTCAGAGCTGTGCTGGGGAGGTTCAGACTGGGCAGGAGGGAGCATTTCTTTACCCAGAGGGTGGTGAAACCCTGGAACAAGCTCCTGGGGAGGGGCTCGGTGCCCCCAGCCTGTCAGGGTTGAAGAGGCGCTGGGGCAACTCCCTTAACAACAGCTCTGACTCCTGGTCAGCCCTGGAGAGCTCAGGCAGTGCGACCAGATACTTGTAGGTCCCTTCCAAATGAAGTTGTTCTATTCTCACTTGTCTACCAAAACTGAAAATTAATAACAGGCCTTGGCCTCTTCTATTAAACGTTTTTAAAATTAACAAATGCAAACAGAACTCTTGTGCAAGCAGGGGTGCCCACATGCTGAAACATCTCATGCTGCCATCTGCTAGCAGTGGGACTCCAAAGCAGCAGAAATCTTTGTGTAAGTGATGGAACTGCAAAGATCCAAAGGATGTAACTTATCACTTTGAGATATTTGATTGGGATGTTTCATCCTGAATAATCTAGAGTTTAATTTATTGTCTGGATAATCTTCACCATGGGATCCCTCTTACCCAGAGGGGATTTTTTTCTTTTTGTTCTAGTACTGAGAGGTACCCTGAGCAGAGGTGATCTTTGATCTTTCTTCCCATCTACCCCACTTAGCAAATCTCAAAACAACGTGAAATGCAACCCTGAAAGTCGTCATTACAGTTTCTCCTTTCATACTTTGTATCTTGATCTTTGTGTCTCCTACATTTCCCTTTGAGCCAACACTAAGAGTCTGACGTACCCAGATAACTTATGTTGGATCTGTGATTCTTTTGGCCACATTGCATTGAAGAAAATGAAAAATAACCACCTGCAATTTCTTTTGCTTACCTTTCTTTCTAGCTTTTATGATCTTACTCTTGTCTTAAAATGTATTCACATTCCTGAACTAAGTGAAAATGAGAAGGTTTCTAATGCTCTGGACAGTCTCTGAACAGGCATATAGGAGGGAAGGTGGGAAAGAGAAGACTAGCTGTTATAAAGGGAAAAAAACCCAAACCCAAACCCCAACAGTTTACAAAAGAAATTCTATGATCATCTTTTCAAGCAAGAGAGTCACAGCTCCCAAACCCAGGAGTCCAATTCCAGCTGTATCGATTCCAGCTGTATTTTCTTATGGAACAGGACAGGATTTCAGCAGAAACCCTTTTCCCCACTTTCCTCATCACCTTTTAAGACAACTCTCAAGCAGGATGAAATTACACCAAAAACTATAGCAGTAATTTTCCCTCCTTGCAAGCCCAGTGCAAAATCAGAGCAGCATACTGGGCAACAAAAGCTCTGCTCTCAGATCCAACGTGAGGATGCCACGGGCAACCCCGTGTTGCTGCGCATCAGCCTGGGCAGTTTACAAAGAAACATCATCATTAATAGCTTTTTTTTAATAGCAGTAATAGCTTTTTAAAATTTTATCGAAGAGTTTACCAACTACAGGACACCCTGGCACCACAGCACTTCCACCAGCCCACGTAGTAATGGTGGAGCATCTGCAGAACTCCCCAACGTTCCCTGGCTGTCACCAGGCCCTGGGAACAACCACCCACGGGCTTATGGAAGTGCTGGATTTCGGGTGTCTGCGCTCTCTCACGTCCCCACGGAGAAAAGACTCAACAGGTCAAACCTCCCCGCACAGATTCCAACATACCTTCCTCCTCTTTCATTTTCTTCAGGTCATCCTCTCCTACCAAGGAGACGCGCTTGGGAGGCTTATCCATCTGCTGTTGCTTCACCTCGATCTCGAAGTACTTCTGCCTCTCGCGGAAGGATCTCTGCTCCGGGCTGTGCAGTGCCCCCGGGCTGAGCGCGGCCACCTGCGGGAGCGGCACCGGCACTGCCCGGCGAGCCCTGGCGAGCTCAGCCGTGCCCCGGTAAGCCCCTGCTTCCCCCCGCGCCCACACCACCGCCCCACGAGGCCCCCCCCTCCTTCCAGCTCCAGCCTCCAGCCTCCAGCACTCACCTCCGGCGCAGCTTTGGGATTCTCTGTGCTGCTCTGACCGGGCAGTTCCTAAGAATACAGAAAAATGGGCACATTCTAAAAAGAAAGTTTTCTACCAGTACTGCTGCCCTCCAGCCAAGTGCCACCAATGCCACAGAAACAGCGGCAGCCCCACAATGAACACAAGGCAACACCACCTCGGGCTTCGCAATCACCAGTATCGAGGACTGGTGTTACACTGAGGGCTGAACACAGACAGAGACAACCTTTAAAACTACAGAAATTGAAAAACATCGGGAAATAGGTGAACAGGAGCAGAGGGCTTAGCTTAATGGAAGAGACGTAGATTTTCTTTAAATCAAAGACGCGACTATTGAAAATTTACTTCTAAGAAGTGGAAACACCATCAAGGAAAGAAGGAAATCTGTATTTACCAGAAGAAATAACAGAATAATGGATGATTTTAATTACAGGGGGCAGGAAAATAAATTGATGCACAGAATCCATCTGTAAACCAGAAATCATTAAGTGTAAAATGAGAACTGCCAAAAAGTTACTAAAAATATGAAAGTTTTTAAATTATACAGATGAAAAGGAACCACAAGAAGAGAGCAAGTAGACTGCCTTCAATTTCAACTTTATTCAAACACACTCCAAAAACTAACTGAAGGTTTTCATTTTGTATAAGTAAGGAGCACAATAACAGAGAAGGGAAGAAATAAAAAAAAAAATTTAAAAAAGCTTCTAGCTGAGAAGTAAATGTCTGGAAATAAGAAATTATTGCTGCTAACACAGAAGAAGACCCGAGAGCTCAATACACCCACCTGCAGGGACAAGATAATCACTGTCCAGTTCTGAATGAAATGACTTGTGAAACTGCCAATCTGACAAGCATCGATTCTGAACTGACTTGTTTAACTGGGTGGCAGCTCATGTCGAAAAAATAGCTCAGATGCCCCTCAAGAATCAAGAAGCAGGCAAAAGGAATTTGAGCAGTGGAGCTATCAGCCTCTTCAGTTTCAACAAGACAACTATTCACAGCTGAATGTAATTAAAACAAAAGTAACTAGAAAATATCATAATGGAACAGGCACAACGAAGATTAATCTAGTATCTTCCTTTGATAATACAGATAATTTTTTCAATGAAGGAACTGCACAGAATTGCCTGAGACTTCGGAGTTTTGTGACCAACCTTGCTTAACATTTTCATTGCCAGATTTGACTCAGAAACCAGAAGGTGTGAATAAAGGTTGTGAATGGCAAAGTCCACAATTCAGACTCACAGGAAGGCAGAGTTGACCGAGACCTCTGCCAATTATTTCATTCCTCCCACTCCACTGACTGGGGACAAGCACTGTCCAAATTCAAAAGAGTCTGGAGTATCATCCTGGAACGACAGGTTGATTTGAGGAGGATGAAAATAATTTAATAGCACAAAATACAAGGTGATCTACTTCAGGACCAGTTTGTTTCTTAAACCACAAATATCAGCTAGAGATTATGAAGCTGGAGAAAACGTCCGCGTGCCAGATACAATCTGTCTCGGGAGCTCAGGTCACCTGGTGGGTCACAGGTGCCAACAGAGCCAAGTTCCACTTCCTTTTCACCCTGGACTTAGCTAACGACTCCCTCAGCTTCTCCTGACCGTCATCTAACTCTGAGTACATGAGTCCATAAAGTCAAAACGGCCCAATATCAACCCTACAAACAGTAAAGCCAGACTTGTGACCCACATTAATTTACCAGACCAGATCAGGAGGAGGCCGGCGAGCAGCAGCGCAGGGCAGGACCAGCTCAGGTGTGACAAAGCGCTGCTGTCCCCAGTCACTGCAGGACAGCCCTGGCTCCTACCACAGCTACGGAAAAGTGAGGGGATCTCCTGACAGGTAAGGAAGGGTACTGCCAGGTAAGGTTCAGAAAGAAAGATAAAATAAAGACAGAAACAAGCAAGCAAACAATACAACAGTGGAAGACAATCTGGGAAACACGGTAACTCATTCACGTCAAAGATGTGGCAGCAGGAACTCAGGTCGAACAGGCGGAAAGGGAAGCAGGAGGAAGACGAAGAGAACTGAGGCTCTTCCCAAACACGAGGTGTCGAAGCAGACAGTTGTTGCTTCTTTAGTTTAGCACACGAAGTGGTGGTAGGACTGTCCACAGAGACAGCTCCGGAGGTCCCGTGTCGCTGGGCGCGGCCACGTGTGGGGACGGGCTCCGAGCTCCTGGGGACGGGGGGTGGGAGGGCACCGGGGCCGCGCCGGGCCCCGCTCGGGGGACCTGGGCAGAGCAAGGGCTGCCCTGGGAACAGCCCCTCCCTTCGCCAGCACTCGCGGGAGCTGTGTGCCCGCGTGGGGCTGCAGGGATGCCACCGGGGCTGCGGTGTGACTGCGGTGTGACGAGTGAAAGAGCATCAAATGATTTAAGGGGCTGCAGGGCACAACATCTGCAAACAGGCTGAGGAATCCGTGCTGGTTCGGCCTGGAGAAGAGGAGGCTGAGGAGAGGGGGAGCTCATTCCTGCATTCAGCTTCCCGGGGGGTTACAGCACAGGGTCAGACTTCTCAGAGGTGCACAGCAAGAGGATGAGATGCAACAGACACAAGTAAAAGAAATTCTGATAAAACATATAGAAAAAACCTCTTCACTGCAGAGAGGGTCATACAGTGGAAGAGGCTGCCCACAGCGACCTCAGTCTCCACTGCTGGAAATTCAGCACCCAAGCAGACTGGGCCTGAGCACCCTCACACCACCTCAGAGGTTTCACACTTTCACACGGAGGACTGGGGCAGATCACCTCCAGAGGCCTCACATAGCCCAATTCCACGATTCACCCACGTGGAGGGGGGTAATAGTTTCAATAAAGTTAAAGATCAAAATCTAATAAGAAATTCCTCAGAGCAGGTTGAGCCTGGTCCTGGACTCTGGAAGTTCAGAGAGTTTCTTTCTATCGGAACAGCACGGTTATACAACAGCGTCCCAACGTCCAGGGAGAGCAGCGCGTGACACTCAGTGAGCTTTTGGGATGTGTTTATGGACAGGGCTCTGCAGGGTGACCAGCACCACACGAACAGGCTCCAGCTTCCACAGGGACCTCAACATCTCCCTCCTGCAGGACAGCTCCTTTGGAGGAAACACATCATTCCCTCCCTACTCTCACCGCTCCGCAATGCCCAACCCTCTGCTGGCAGCAGGGTTTGTGACCCCCCAGCCACACCAGTTACCTGTGCCTCCAGCAGAGGGTGTGACAAGGGCACTGCTGCAAAGGTCTTGTAGGCTTGCTTGACATTGATGGGGATCTCGTCGGGAGAGGGTGGTGACGGCGGCTTCTGCTACAGGGACAAAGACAGAAGGTGAAGATAAGCACAGATGTTATAAAAAAATGAAAATGGGGAAACAGCCCAAGTCAGCCCGCAAAGCCTGAGGAGTGAAACACGCCAGGGACAGCTCCTGCAGCCCTGGGCGGAGATGAGCAGTGTACTGTACACGTGCTACACGCAGCAGCACACCCACCACACCCTGCTCTACTGCCTGGGTGGTGGAGGAACGACATTCTGGTTGTACAGACCCCTGGTGACTTGACCAGACTTTTGTGACGGGTCTCTTGGCCAAGGGGCCACAGCGCTGTCACGGTCCTTAAGGATTTCCACCCAGCTTCCATCCATGTCCCTGCTTGAGTCAGTGGGCTTCTGGGGCTGGGAGAAGAGAGCTGACAGCTGACCCTGACCCCTGCTCAGGGCTGAACAAGCCACATTTAGTTTGTCAGAAAATTAAAGGTAAGCCCTGGCCTTATCTGGCATTTCTGACTACAGAAGCCTTTATCATGGGAAGGGATCTCCTAGTCTGATCTGGTTTTTGCAGTGGCTGTGGCACTTCCGTTTATAAAATGACTAAAGTGCACCTCAAGGTCCTTCTAGACTAATGGTCACAGTCTCCTAAACAAACGTGGAACCATTCAGGGATCTGGAAACTGGAGACTTGCCTTTTATCTCAGATTTTCCCTTCACAGACTTCCACTTACTCAGAAACATCTGATAAGGTCCAAGAAGACCCTCCTACTGCTTGGCACTTGTCTTTGCTGGTCTTTTCCTCACTTATCTTCCCTTGACCCCTCCTATCACACGCAGGAGGGAAGGAAGAGCTGGGATGATCCGCTCAAAGCATCACAGAAATGAGTGGGGTAGGGGGGAATGATACCACCACCTTCTTCTCTACTAGAAGCAAATCCCTTTGGGTGCTTCCTTCCTTCAGTCCCTCTAGCTGCACTGCCTCAGTTTCAGGTGTCTGGGGTTCTTTGTCCTGGACTGAGGCTAAATTATGTTGTCTGATGATGTTCCCCTCTGCATAGGCTAAAGAACAGCACATCAACATCAGAAGAGACTCTAAAATATGTGAATCTTGGCCAATTACATGGATTATATATAGCTGTTTGTCTGCAAACCAGGTCTCTAATTTGGTACCATGTCACACAAGCTTCAATAAGCAGAGAAGGGCTATACTGCAGGTATACAAGTCTCCTGTCATGACAAACACCAAGATACCTGAATCTTTCTCTCCCATCAACATACAGCCCAGGGAATATGACTCTTCCAAAAACAATCGTTTTGCAAATCATAAAAATTATCCTCAGCAAGATGGTATTGAGTCTCACTCCAGGATGCAAGACACTGACAGACAAAGGTTCTGAGAGATTTCTGCCTCAGCAGAACGCAGCAGCTCGTCAATAAGGACCTGAAGCTGTAACTGCTCTGGGGATTCAGGCCAGAGCAGAGCTTCAACAGTGCTCATTTTCTGAAGGGGTAAGTGAAGACAATTACTCATCTACATTAGAAAAACGAAGGGATGCACCGACAATGACACTTTGGGAAGGGTGTGTGTTCTCACCCAGGGCAGAACAAGAGCAGCTTTAGCTGACACTACAGAATCAGCGTAAGGGTGCACTCAGCCCACCCACCAGAAAACGTGGCACTATAGCGACCTCGGGCAGACAGACACAGCTTAGCAAGAGGGAACTGCAGGCCACTTACAGAGTTCGGGATACTGAAGCGCTGCTCAGGCTGCTGGAAGGGGTTGGGGCTGTCCCCGTCCTCCGCGCTATGTGAGGCAGCGCTCTGTCGCACTCGGGAAAGGGGCTGGATGACGCCTGGCTTGGTCTGCTCGTGTCAGGACCACACAGTGGGGGAGAGGCAGAGGAATGGGAGGGGGAGAGAGAGGGAGAAAAGAATAAGCAGTTAGGGCAGCAAAATGTCTCTGCCATGCAAGTGAGTCAGACAAATCCATGCACCTGCGCTCAACTCCTCAGCTGTGCTGCTGACTCCAGCCACCAGACTGGGGGGAGAGCTGCTGAAACGGACACCATACAATGCCTCTGGTGCAAGTATTTTGGACAGCCAAAGAGATTCAGACATGCCGGGTCACAGCAGGACCGATGGGTTACAGAGAAGGCCAGGGCACGAGCAAGAATCTGCCATGCAAGCAGCAGCTGCAAGGGTCAGAGGGGTACGGCATGAGCGTGTCAGAGCCTGGAGGATGAAAGCACCACGAGTGGGAGATGCAGCAGGGACACATCCACCAGGAATGAGCACGGGCAAAAGCTGGGGGTGAAAACGAACTGAGACCCAGGTAGGGCTCCAGTGAGAAATGCAGACATAAGAGCAGAGACAGGAGTCTGAGATTTGACCTGGATGCTGTCACTGCTGGATGCTGTGTGGAAGTGAACAAACCACCTAATACTAGAGAGAGCAGAAGCAGAAACGGAGTGAGCCAGCAAAAACTACATGAGTGACAGCTGCACGGGTAAACAGGAATAAAAGCTGCAAAAACACTGGCAGCAAGTTTTCAAATTGACAATATTTGAGACAGTGCATCTGTACAAACTTGAGGTACAGTGGAGGACTGAAGGAGACGGATAAAGAGCCAACGGTGAGACGGACATGAGCTGGAATGAGCACACGCAGAGGGAAGAGGGAATCTGTGTGCTGGAGGATGCGCAGGGACACTGCAACAAGGTCTCACGGTGGATGTACTTACTGATTTACTGTCATCCTGCGATGTAATGAAGTTAATGGAAGCCTGAGAACAGAAACACAGGTGTAAATCTGGAGTCCCTGCAGGAAGCCTTTAGTTTTCCCTGCTCCACACAAAGAAATCGAGAACTCCCAAGCCCTCCCCTGCCCTGCCGCCTGCCCTGTACAGGGAGAAGCCCCCAGGTGCCATGCCACCCCCCGCCATACCTTCTTCTTCACGTGGGGAGGCGTCCAGAGCCCACCCGCAGGGGCTTCCCGTCCCTCTGCCGGGTGAGAAGGCACCCGCACCTCTCTCCGCACCCTCTGGGCACTGGCTCCCGCCCTCCCCTGCTCCAGCTCAGCAGGTCCTGGCCCTGGCTCACACCCCCTGCCCTCGGTGCTCGCTACCGAGCCTGAGCAAAGCCATCAGCCCCGCGGCTTCTGTGCCAGGAAGCGTTGGCAGGTGCCACCTGGCAGTGGCCGGCGGGGAAGGAGCAGCCCCCGTGCTGCGGGCCCAGGCCGGGGAGGCGAAGCTGGAGGAGGGGACGAGGAGCAGCGGCGCGGGGCGAGAGCAGCGCGGAGCAGCAGCGCACACCGCACACCAACAGGCACTTACAAAGCGGGTCTCCCTGCCCGAGAGGTGAGCAGGCCGAGGGGCTGCAGGCGTCTGGAGAGGGGCAATGCCAGGGAGGATCGTCAGGGGAGAGAAGGGGAGAGAAAACGAAGAGACTGGGTTTTCCGCGAGAGAGGCTGAGACAAGCACCTTTCCCAGCACAGAGAGCGCAGTCACCCAGCGCTGGTGGTGTCCCCACGCAGCTCCCGCTGCCTGCCATGGAGAACGACCCTCTGCCCTCCCGGGCACACACACACAGACCCACCACAAACACCTCCTTCCTCCCCCCCACCAGAAGCTTGCAGGACTCAAGGCCAGGCAAGACCACCATGACACCAGCCTTGGGACAAGGGACTCAACTTCCCTCAGTAATTCTCCGAGAGCTCTGAAATAAGCCTGTAAATTCTGGCTGGACTACAAGATATCAGACCCAAAGAAATTTCCATTAAAAACATGATGGCAGAGAATTAGAGATGCAGTTCCTCGGAACATCTGCTCTGGAGCAACAACCTGAAGGTCAGGTCTCCCAAATCCCCGGAAAATGTACAAGCCACAAGGCTAGTGATTGCCCTGTGCCTTTCAGTATTACCTGTTGGACCTGTTCCATTCTGTGTAACATTCATTGTCCAGAGAGAGCTAAAAGTACCAGACACAGCCTCACCTGCCATGCAGGAGACTGCTGCGGAAGGCTCTGATCCAGAAAGTATCAAATCCTGCCAATGTGAGAGAAAGCTCCCATACAGAGTGCAGGCTTGAGAGTGCCACGAGCAAGACTAATGGCTTGGCACGGCGACACCAAGGCACCTTCAACAACAACTGCCAGAGTCTCTAATTCATAATGCCCACAGACAAAGGAAGGGAAAAAAGCTGTCAAAATGACACATAGGCTGGATCTCAGAAATTAAAGCAGTGAGCAAGCCTGCTGAAGACCTTAAATAAAGGAGAAAGTAATGAAATTGGCTATAAATGCTGTAAGAAATTAACAGAATCTCTCTCGGCATATACATCTCTGAACAGAGAGATAAAAGAGAAAACCAAGAAAAAAGCTGCATAGATTATTCAGTATCTTGCCCAAGCTACAGAGAATTCATGACACCAAAAACCTGAAGTGATAGAATAGACTACAAACCGCAGCAAGTGCTACAGAACAGGGATTTTGAGACGCCCAACTTAAAACTGTAAAGACAAACGCCTGTGTCTGCAGGAGTGCTCCTGAGCTGCTCCTAGCTCCGCAGAACGCATCAGTGAGACCGTGTTTGCTCTCCTCTGAGCCCACGGAAGAGAGAGGGAGCAGTTTCACCTGGAAAGTTTCCACTGTCAGAGCAGTGACTGCTATGGGAAGACAAAGTGGTCGCTGTCGCACAGGAACTGGATAATGACAAACTATTAGCCTTGGAGGACAAAGGATTTCTCCCTGAGCAAGTCCACCCCGAGTCAGAAGAGCAGGCGGCAGCACAGCCAGAGGGTTGTTGGCCAGAACACTGACAAACAAAAACATCAGGGCTACTACGAAAGTTGCCTATGACAAGTTGGGACAAGGGACGTTCCATCCAAATACCAGTTTGAAAAAAATAAAATTGAGTGTAGTCAAATAGTGGGTCTGACAGCGAGAGAGATGCAGACCTTCCATCTGCAGAGGCGTTCAAACTTTAACTGGACATGGCCTTGAGCTGGCTGGACCTCCTTGAGCACCGCCTCTGACCAGACCTTCTGCCCTAAGTCATTCTACGAGCAGCTCCACGGGTACCCTGGGATTCGGGCTGCTTGTTCAACTGAGCTGAGGATCTTTAAAGACACAGCAAACGAGTATCTAGATCTCTTTCTACCGTAGAATGAGCATCATCCCCACCCCATTCCTTCTAAATAAATAAGCCAATCGCAATGAAAATTTGCCCGTGGCAAAAGGAAGACTTAGAAATAGCCCAAAATAAACCTCTGATCGGTACACAACTGCTGTCAGAAAAGCAAGTAAGTAAACATATGCGGCTGGAACAGAAAGCACTGAAACGGTATTACTATAATGAACAGTTTCTTTTAATCTTACTGTGTCAGTTTGAAAGGATCTAAGAATTGAGGGAGATGCAAGAGAGGCCAAGGAAGCAGCAGAGGATGGACTGAACGACAGCTCCACTGCCCTGCGCGCTGCTCCCTGCCACAGGGTCCTGACCCTGCCCCGGGGCCAGTGTCAACTGTCACCTCACCACAAGATGATGAAACTCATCTCACGAAGCTGAACTGACCTAGTGGAAAAGCAGAGAGCTTTTGTCCAGCTTAGAGAACCGAAACGACTCAGATGAAGATAAGGTCAGTGCCAGAGCTACTGGGACCAAATAGCTGGAGAGCAGCTGCACTCCAGAATGGATCAACAGACACAAAATGACTGAGGGTAGAGTACAAAGTACAATTTTCAGTTCATTCCAGCCCCCTAATATAAAAACCAGAAACAAGTAATGACTGTGAAGGGAAAAATTTTAAATTCTATTTAGGAGTATTTAACTTCAAAAGACTCAACTAACTTGGGAAACTTATTGCCACAGGACGAAAGTGAAGTCAAAGACTTAGCAAGATTTCAAAGAAAAGAGAGTTCACATGAGAAATAAGGACGGCTACTGGGAATAGGTAATGGCTCCTGCCCCCCCAAAAATCAAAAGTTACAAGAAATAAACTTCTCCTTTCAGAGCGAAAGCTGGCCTCCAACCAAAGAGTCTGAGAAAACCATTCCCTGAAGCAGGCTGACTATAACTGTGCTGCAGGGTCCTTCAGCAGTGACGCGTGCTGCTGGCAGCGTCACACGCAGGACGGGGGATCTCTCTGGAGACTGTGGCAATGGTTCACAGACAGGAGATGGCTCTCCAAAGCCTGACTCCTCCGTTTCTTCTGACGTACCAATTGCCAGAATTAAAGAGTCTCTGCATCCCTGGGTACTCTCAAGGATGGAAACCAGACTCAGCTTCCCCTGCCCCTGGCAGCAGCCTCTGCCCTGCCCCACACCCGTCCTGCAGTCTCACCTGCTGAGCACCTGGAGAATAGGGGCTTTCACGCCTGGCATTTCCCGTCCCAGACTCGCCTGCAGGAGCCTGAAAGAGAGAAGACAAAGGTAGTTACTGGGGAGAAGCAACTTCCATGCCTCTCCCTTCGCAGTGAGACCAGGAGCCTGGGGAGAACAGCGACATCCAGCCCGCGGCCAACCATGGGCCACCTCACCACACACAAGCCGAGTTAGCACTGGGCCCAACCGCAGCTGTCAGGTGGCACAAACTTGCAAAAAAGCGACAGAAAGAGCAAGGAAATGCCATTAAACACTGGAAGTGAGATTGTATCCAAACGCCCCGCAAGGCTGACTGAATTGGGTTAAAGCCTCTGCCTTGCAAGACATCCCTGGGAATCCTCTCCCCCCTCACTTCTGTTTGGCCCTCAACAGACTGAGCCAGGGTCTAGGGAAACCTCCCGTCGTACAGACACTGAGCAAAAAAGACACTCCCAAGCCAAAGGGGAGCAGGTTCAGACCCCTGAGCAGTCCAGAGCGCATTAAAGAGAGAGTCTGACCCCTCCACGGGAACGCGGGGTCACTGGCACTGACGCTGAGCCTACAGCCAGCCCCAACAGCCACCGAGTCCCAGAAATCACCTCAGCCTTCCCGCAGGATTAAGGAGCGCAAGTTAGAAAGTATTTTAGAAGCCTACAGATGGAAACAGGTCCTTTGGGATTCAGGAAACTGTGTAAGCAAATCGAGGGTTCCACGTTCATTCATACCATACCCATGCACTAGTGAATTGTTAATTTGACTCATGTCAGCCTCGGGCTATTGTGGTTCTGAGCAAGCCAGGAGATGTGATCTGGAGTTTATCCTGGAGCATAGAAAACTCTGATCCCTCTTAGCACTGGAATGTCACAACGTGGCAGCATCGGCTGACCCACTCCCGCGCCTCTTGCTCATTTGGCTGCTGCCGCCCAGGCCCTCCCCTGAGCCCGCACAGCAAGGCAGGAGCTGTTCCAGGGTGCTGTTTTCAGGGCCCTCGGCTCCCCAGCCCAGCTGACACACGACAGGGGAGGAGAACACGTGGCCAGGGGGAACTGATCCCTTTTCACAGCAACGTGGCATTAGATCAGCTCCAGCTCACCGTGACGCCTCTCCAGACTGTGACAGCTGATCTGCCATAAAGTACCTCAGAAAGGGCCGGTGCTCCCTGCCCGCTGCTTCTCCATCTCCTGAACGCTAAAGCTGGATGCCTGTAACGCCCAAACCCCAGCCTTTGACTGAGAACGGAGAGGTTCCACGGCCTTGCTCCACGCTCATCTGCCTACACACCTCTGAGCAACAAGTTCCCACCAAGCAACTGGGATACAAAGCTGAGAGAACTACAGCTGGGTTCTGCTTGTTTTCCCTTCCGTGTGTGTGGGCTGTTTGTCTGCAGTTGTTTTGCTTCTTGCTTTTGGACCTGAAAGGCTGAGAAAGGAAGAAGGGGAGAGTGCTGCGGTGCTAATCTAGGACATAGTGTCTTTGGCTCTGCCACAGCTTTCCTGTGCAACGGGGAGAAAGTCAAATACAGACAGACTTCCCCGAGCAAAAAGCAGTTTCCCTTGAAATCTGAGTCTCGATATACGAGATGTGTCACTTCAGGGAACACCACTGGGCTGTCCGCTAACGATGTGGCTGCACTGCCCCTTGGTTTCCAGAAGCATAAACCCGGCTGTTTGTTCAGGCCCGGGTACAGAAGCGTGACCCCCTGAGCGGGAGCGCCCCGTTCCCAGCCCCACTCTCGCCCTTCCAGAGATGCCGGGGAAGCTGCCTGGGCTGCGGGAGGGCCCGAGTGGTGCCCACGCCTGGCGGTGACGGGCCGGGGGGGACGTTAGTGCCCGGGAGGGAACCCGCTGCCCGCCGGAGGCGGGGAGCGCAGGTGTTAGGGCCTCGTGCTGCCCGGCCTCGCCGTCCCGAGCATGCGCAGGTTTAGTAGAACGCGGGTGGCCGTGGCGGGGCGGTCACATGCCACACGCTGCGTGCCACCAGGCTGCTTGCCTTGGAGTAAAGGTTGGTCTTCAGCACTCCCCCCCTGCCATAGCCGAGGGGCGGCCCCCCCAGGCAAGCCTGGCCTGCCGCCTTCCCCCTGCGGTTGGCCACCACAAAGGGGTTCTCACTGAAGAGGATCGGCTGAGAGTCGACCATGCACTCTTGCTCTGGCGCCTCTGGCATCTGCTCCGGGGACAAGGGGCAACCTGTGGGATCCCGCTTGTCTATCTGGGGCTGTTTTTCCGCCCCGCTCGTGCAGGTGTCGGGTGGTGTGGGGTCCTGAGGAGGGGCAGCCACGCTTCCGACGGCCGGGCCTGCAGCTGGCTCTGGGCACGGATCCCGGCTGTCCTGTGCCACTGGCAGGGACAGCACAGCGCAGTCACCCTCCATCCCGGAGCTGGCCTTATTATACTGAACGAGCTGAGAGGAAAACAAAAGGATCAGAAAGAAATGAGGAGAACAGAGTAAAGGAGAGGAGGGAGAAAATACAGAACAGCTGTTGATGCTGAAGGACAGGGGAGAGAGGAATTCCAGAGCTAGCACTTACACCACCACCCCTTCTCTCTGCTCTCCTCCACCACCAACCCCACGATCCCAAAGGCCACCTCCACAAGACGACCTGGCCGCCAGCAAACCCCGACACTCCCTGCACCTCCCCAGCCCTCACACACACTCCTGCAGGTGCTTCAGCAGCTCGCCAGTGATGCTGCTGCTCTCCAGCAAAACTGACTGCCCACACCTGCACAGGCACAGCCCCTCTCCCCTCTCGCTGCAGCACGTCCCCAGCCCAGCCCCACCGCAGGGCCAGACCCCAAGGGCCTCGCTCGCTCAGCACCACACGCAGGGTCACACCTCTCCCCTCACTCAGGTGTGTTTCCATCTACCACATGCATTTCCACCCCACCTGCAGGAGCAAACGTGCTTTTATGGCCCCACCTCATCAAAACAGACACCACCAAGTAACAGAGAGCTAACGAACAGCTAACAGAGCAGAGATGCCTTTGAGGGCTCTTACTGAGGGCAGGACCGAAACAGAGCTCCAGTTCTGCCCACACTCAACTGGACCCATCCACAATGAAGCACTGACCCTTCCTCTTTTAACGCTGTAAAAGAGAGATTGTTACCCCAGTCAAAGCCTTCTTCAGGGAAGCAGAGATGATCAGAGAGCGATGATCAAATCTCCTTCCATCCAAGTGCCTGCCGAGGAGCAGAAAGACCTCTTCTGCTTAGAGCACATTCTCCAGCTCCTGTGTCATGGCAGCATTCACAAAAATAGCTCCCAAGGGCTGGGTGGGCTGGTGACTACAATGGCAGCTGAGAGGCTCAGGAATTTCTGAGGCCCTCCCCTAACCCCTCAACCCCAACCCAACCTAAAGCAGCGGTTGGCAGAGCCCTGGCTCATATCGTATTTCTTCAGACAGTGAAGCCTGTGCACTACCCTTAGAAATTCTGCTATTGTACCTACGTGACTTTCCAATGACAAAACATCCCCAAACTCCAACCCTCTTTTCCCAGAGTGCCATAAACGCCACCAGCAAGAGCTCTGGTGCACATGAAGTTATGCCAGGCCAGGAGTCCCCTCAGGATTAGCTGTTCCCTGGGGATGCTGCAATGAAAACCCCGCTGGCAACCCCCCATGGCCGAGCGGGTTTGTGGGTCCCGCAGCCCGGCCCCGCCGCCGCCCCCCCGGCCCAGGGGGAGAGCACAGACACCCACCAAGGAGGGTTCCAGGTGCATCCCACCACCCACTACTCTGCTCCGCACACAGGGGGAAAGGCAACACCAGTCAGGGCAGGGTGCAGACGGGCACCTCGCCCCCCAGGCTGCACCCAGTCTGGTAGCCGCGGGGAGCGGAGCCCCGTTTGGTCCAAGGACAGGGCTGGCTCTGAGCCCCATCGGCCCCTCGCTTCACTCTCCAGTGCTGCTGCTGCCCCGGCGTGTGCCAGCGCGGGACCCCTCGCTCCCTCCACTCACACCGGGCTATTTTTATCAGACAAGCAACCCTTTCTATTTCGGGTCAGCAAGGAATCTGGCAGTGCGGTGTGCTTTTTCCCAGCCTTGCCTCTGTCACTCCTCAGTCTAGTGGGCAGGACGATCGTGTTTTATCCTGCAGCCTCCAAGGCAAAGACAGAAGAAATGCATTTGCAGTTCCGATCCATCAACTCAGATGCTGAAACAAACCCAATTTTAAATCTAATGAACAAGTACAGAGAAAGAATCAATGACTGGAAATTGAAGATAAACAGAAGCAGACCAGGAGGTAGAGATCGTTAATTAACTAACCACGGTGACGCACTACTGGGAGATGGAAAGTCTTCTCCATTCGATACAGTCCAGAAACCAAGACGAGACACTCAGTGTTGTGCTGTGGTAGCTGCAGGTGTTCCAGGGTGGGGTTGTCAACACGGCTATGCACAGGACAGCCCCTAACAGCTCCTTGGTGCTGTGTTGGCAGCACCCAGGGGTTCTCAACTGAGGGAGAAGCGGGCGCAGGCGAAGGCGTCACCGGGAGGAGCATTCTCCCGCAGCTCTCAACTGGAATTTTCCAGCTGGGGTTTTGAAAGTACACAAAGGAAGCAGGCTCACATCTCAGCCAGCCTTTGTTAAATCTCGCTCACAAATGGACCAGTACACAGCAATAGATCAAGGCAAGGCAGACAACTATCTGCCCCCTTCTTTAAGGGCAATTTTTGGGGGATTCTCATGACAGGTCTGTGCCTCCTCCTGTTCAGCCGTGTGAAGAACAGCAGGGCCTGCAACTCCCTTGCAGGGAGCTGTATGGCAACGGGAGATATGCAGACAGTGCTTAGGGGAAGATGCACATGGTGAGAAAGCTGGCCTAGAGACAGGAGCAAGGGGAACAATGCAGTGGGAACTGGGCAACAGCCTTACTCATCTGAACGCAGGCCGACTGTCTGGAGACAGAGGAGCTGTTCCCTGAGCCAGGAGCTCTCCTGCCAGCCCGACCAACGCGCGGGCGCAGCCACCGCAGCGGCCAGCGCAGCTCCTGCAGAACGCCGGCCCCGACCCCAACCTCCCTGCGCTCATGGTCCAGGCAGACATTTGTTCCAACAGAGCAGAGACAGGGCTGGGCGAATGACAGCTGGGAAAAGACAAACGTGGGCACCGATCGGCCCTTCCCCTGCATGGGGACATTTATAGATGCCGCCCTACAGCCCGGCATTCCAGCACGCTCGGTCCCACATGCCAGTGCCAAGCGTTCCCGGCCGACGCCGACCCCGAGGGACAAGTTCCCAAACCCTGCTCTGCTCTGCACCGCCCCGGGGCTGCTCAGCACAGAGGCAGCTGCTGGCGTGGGGCTGGCTCTCCCCGTTTCCAGCTGCTGAGTTACACTAAGAGATGCTAAAAATAGGCTGAACCTTTTCCTGATGATATAGTAGTTCTGTGTGAACAGCCAGGAGAGAAAACCCAAAAGCTGGGGAGTAAGGGGAGGAACAAAATGTGACAAAGCTGGAATCAAAGAGGGGTGAAATCAGTGTGAAATCAGAAAAGCAAGAAGGCCTGAAGTCAGTGAAAGGACAGATGAGTAGGAGAGGAGACTGGTCTGGATGGAATGAGATGGAAACAGTAAAGGTAAAATAAATGATCCTGAAAGACCAGGATGAGAATGCAGAATCTGATGATGACAGCAAAGGGTGGTCTCGCTGCAGGAGGATAGGAACGGAGGACGGAGGGAAAGACCGAGGGGGTGTGTGAAGGTGCAGGCAGAAGCCCAGTGGAATGGGTATGGTGCAGGGAAGGTAAAACATGACCAAAGGAAGCAGAGATGGAGAGATGAGGTGAGATTTTAAACAGCACAGGAAAGACAGATGACCTGGTAATCTGTGAAGTTTGTGAAATCTGGATTTTCTCGAGGCTGAGTGGCCGTTACATAGTGGGGACTGAAATGCAGGTCCCAGGGGCAGGAGCACCCAAGGGCGTGTCAGGGCTGAGTCGGGACACGCCGTCACTGCCCCCATACCTTCTGCAGTCCTAGACGGGTCCCGACTTTCCTTCAGTACTTCTGGTATCAGCATCCTGCGTCCCTCCTCCTTCCTGAGCGCCGTCCCACAATGAATTTCCAACTACGCTTTGCACACAACGTTGTCCTCTTCTGTGTTAGGAAGAATCTTGCCCTCCCTCCTCTGCAGCTTTCAGTAGCTGCTTCCCCCCCGTGACACATCCCCTGCTCACACGTACCCTCCTCTCCTGCCAGGCTCTTCTCCTGCTGCCTTTGAGATGTTTCCTTTTGCGAATTGGCAACTACAGGGGCCGCTTCCCTTCCCGACACGGAAAGCGACCTGCCTCTCTGCTCTCCTCGTTTTCTTAGTCCAATGTTCCTCCTGCAGCTACTTCCCGTTTCAGACAGAGCCTACCCCAGTTCTGCTTCCCCGTCACCTCTCACAGCAGGGCGCCAGGGAGAGGGCAGGGCGCAGGGCGAGCACGGCTCCCCCCAGGCAGGGACCCACATCTCGACAGCCCCTCACTTACAGTGCGATTGCCTCTCTGCAAGCCACTGCTGGGCAGCGCAGCCAGGGTCCGATAGTCCAGGCGCAAAGGTTCACTGGTGATGTTCTGGAGAGGGGCAAGGGGGGGAGCAAAAAAACACAAACACCAGGAAGAGATCAGGCCAGAAGTCAACTAAATCATCTAGAAAGAGCAATTAAAAGGAAACCACCCCTAGTAATAACCAAGGCCTTATCTCCAAACTCTGCAGAAAGTTCCCGTTGTGTGGAAATGAACGTGGAATTGTTCCAAACGCAGCTACGGGGACCCAAGACAGGGGCCAGGCTCGGGAAGTGCTGCAGGGAACGTGCTGGTCTGGGCCCCTGGTCACCCACCGCTGGACAGACCCCCACCATTCCTCTGGCCCCACGTGCACACGTCTGCTCCCTCACAGGGGCGGAGGAGAATGGGACATACATACCCGTTTTCTCCAAACAGCATCCAGAAAGGCTTCCAGTCTGGATTTGGAGACATTTGGGAGTGCGAATCCACAATTCCTCTACCGCATCTTTTCTCAACCTTAACTCACCCTCATTGAACAATTTGTTTGATTTCGTTTCCCATTTGCATTTGTCTGCCTTTCTAATTCTAGCCACTGTTTTTCATCATTCCTTTCTCAATCATGTTACAGATTTCTCCCTTTCTGATATCTTCTCTTATACCCAAAAGTCAAGTGTTTTGTGGAGGGGGAGAACAGAAGTTATGGGAACGAGCACTTCTAGAGATTTCTCCAGCCTTCAAGTCCAGTTGCATCCCTTTTCTGTAGCTCTCCAACCCTCCCACCATGCTCCTCACCTCTGCCTCCTCCTCAAGCTGCTGCGTGGCTGCCTCCCGCTCCCTACGCATCCACTCCTTCCACGAGACAGGACAGAGTCAGAGCAGCGTCCAAGCAGCACAGGCAAAGAGAGAGGGAAAGAGGTCAGCACCATGCTGGGCAGTAACTCCCGAGGGGACAGAGGAGCACGGACAGGAGGGGCCGAGCAGAAACCCAGCACCTATGCTGGGCCCTTGGAAGAGGAGCTGGAATTCTGCACAGCACAAGGGATGGGGACAGACACCCGGGTGTCACTGGGTGAGGGGAAGAGAGCAGATGTCTCCAAGATCCTCAGCAGGGTCCACCCTGGGGAAAAGCCCCCCCAAGCACAAGGGAAAGAAGATTGCTTATGGCTAGAAGAGACATCTTGACAGAGCACAGGCGGAAGAGGCTGGAAGGGAATGGAAAAACAAATCTACAGAGCGCAGGCCTAGTTGTCACTAAGGGAAAAGGCCTAAAAAAATCACATGCTTGTTAATAGCCCGACAGCCACAAGACTATATATAGGGACAGAACTCGTGTAAGCATAAGGCAGGGCTTATAATCAGCTGGTCAGCTCTCAGTCATTCAGCGCAGCACAGGAGTATCCTGCGAGTGACCAGAGGGTAATCTCACAAGCCCCAGCTATGGGCTTGCTTCCAAGCTGCAAGAGGAAGGTAATAAGATGTTACTTGTCTTAAAGAATTATTTTTGTGCCCTTATACTTCTGTGACTCTTTGCCCAGCACCTCTGCTGCAGCACAAGGGCTGTGGACAAAAGCATCCTCCTCCTCCTCCTGCTCTGCTGGGCACTGCAAGCCCCTGACTGCTCCTCTCCAACAGGCCAAGGTGGGAGGATGGGAGGGGGAATGACCTGAGAAATAGGGAGGGAGGTAACAGAAGCACCCAGGCCCTTCTCTTCAAAAGCTTCTGTGCATTTACCACCAGCAAATAATCATCGTCCCACATCACACCCCGATCTCCAGACAACAATGAGCAACATGAGAAGACACGATTGCTCTGGAGGATCACAAGACCCAGGCTGGTATTTAGGGATATTTAAGCTGAAGCTTGTTCTGAATCTGGTTATGCTGATTTTGAACAAGTGTTATCTGTAAGGCGAGTGCTCACGCTGACATCTCACATGTGATCCTTCTCTGGCGTCTCCAGCTCAGAGGGGTGAGAGCACCAGCCAGCCCCGATGGAGCTGTGGAACAGTCAAAAGTTCATCTCTGACAGCACCTGGGGAGCCTGGAGAAGCTCTGGATTAAGACGAGAAAAATAACTACAGCTACAGAGTCGGGATAGAGAAATGCACCATGAATCAGTCCACAGGGACTTGGAGTTACTAATATTGCTATTAGAAACTGAAGTATCAAAGAACTCGAGATGTGTGCAGTGAGTGCAGCAGTGGGATCTGAAAACCTCTACGGGACTAACAGTGAGTACAGCAAAGCCCATTTCTGTTCACAACCTTACTGTAGGGAGACACGTTTCACTTCCGCCACTCTTGTGCAAAACTGAACATGAAACACTGAAGTGTTAGAGGAAAGGCCCAAAGATGGTGACATGTATTACTGAGGATCTGGCACTGAGGCGGGAACTCCCTGCGGCATCACAACGGCTACCAGACTGTGCCAGCTCCATCAGTGGTACAGACTGAACCATCAAAACCAGTATCACAGACAGAATCCCAGTCCCAAGGTTACACTAAGAGGCAACAGCAGAAAAACTGGTCCTTGCTTTTGGGTCTCGGGCCATGGGTCCTGAGACGTCAGAGGAGTCTGGAACCTCCTCGCAGTAACCGAATGGAAGGGGCACCAGGAAACACGAGAGCCTGCAGAGGCCCAGGCGGTGCTGAGGCCAGGGTGCAGGGTGCTTCCCAGCTCTGCCGGGGCCGGCACAGCCCACGCTGCAATTGCACTGCACCACTACAGGGAGAGAAAAGGCAGCACATACGGGAATACAGACCTTATCAGTCCTTAAACAGGCACCACTGCAGCCTCAGAACATTGCTTTACAACCTGGCAACAGTAAAACATCCAGGAAACACGAACCACAATTACTGTGCGTCGTTCAGCCTCTCGGAGGAGCAACGGTGTTTGCTGTAAGATGCCCACCACTGTTTTGAAATACTGCTGGTGGCTGAATAGTTATTGCTAGGTTTTTTTCTTTTAATCATTTAAATAAAATTTCAAGTTTTCCATAAAAAGCTATCATAACACCATCAGCACTTTTTAAATGAGATATGGCCCGGGGCTACCTCACCAATCATAAAGGTTTTTCTGGGTTTTTTTGACAGAGCCTCTGGGGTATTTTAAAGTAATATCAGCATAAATTTTGGGAAAGCCTTTAAGACTGAACCAATGCAACCCACTCAGAGCAGCATGGTTTTGGGGCCAGACTTGCTCTTGGTTTACCCAGGGGTGTTAGATAGTGACTCAGTGCCTGAAGTCTCCTTGAGAGTATTGAAACCCACACGCTGCCAGCACAAAACTGGTAGGAACAACCTTTGCTGCAACACTAACACGACCAAATCAGGTTCTCTGAAACAACAACAAACCACTCCCAGTGCCTTCCTGGGCAAGGAACAAGTCATTTTACAGGAAAAATCTAAATCTGATCTGAATTGGCTCTGCTCTGAGCTGAACTGAGTGACCTGCAGCGGTCCCTCCCCACCCAAATTATTCAAAGATTCACAGAATAGTTTGTGTTGGAAGGGACCTTTAAAGGTCTAGTGTACCCCCCTGCAATGAGCAGGGACATCTTCAGCTAGATCAGGTTGAGGATTATTCTGTAAGGTTACTTTACTTCACTGGAAGAATTCCCATCTAAGAACAAACCCCATCAGAACACCCTGACGATACTTTGGACAGGACTATCCCTGCAGAGCTGACACCCATCTGAGCTGCAGGCCAGCAGAGACAAAGCAAAGCTTCCAAAGGGAGTCTGCCACACACGCGACCCCTTCTGCCCCCCCACCCCAGTCTGTCATAGAATCCTACCCTGCACAGCCCACAGCAGTCACTGACAGCAGGCAGAGCGGGATTACAGAAATACTGAGTCTATGTGTATGTATATTTAATGATTACACATACCCCACGCCTGAAAAGTCATACGGCCATTTTCTTGCTCGTTGCTCTGTCCGCTGACAAGTCTGTGCCATTGTCTATTCAAAACCTTGACCGTTTTTTCCAAACCAAGTAAAATCTCAAGTGTTAACTAGAGTTATAAAGTCTCTTCCATCCACAATTGCCAACACAACTAAAGCTGAGTGATTATGACTACAGAAAGACCCTAGGTAAATATTTGGTACATCTAAATTGGAAACCTGAAGAAATACCTGCAAAATGTACACAATCTTATCTGCCAGGAGAGCAAATTCCTAACTGACAATACTGAAGAATTCAATTTTCCTTCATCTTTCAAAAGAATCTGAGTGAATAAATTACAGTTCTGAGAGGGGTAACTAGAAAACCCGAGTCCTTGAGGGCTTGACCTCTGCTAATCTGTTTCTGTGAAAGGCTGAAACAGTGGGCAGAAACACAAAATTCTCACAATGAATCAGGAAAAGGATTGTGTGAACTCTGGAGCACAGACTTGTGACCGATGGACAGCACCACCTCTTCAGTTCAGGCCGGCTCTGGGCTGCGTGTTCTCATCTTTGCTCATCACAGCTCTGTCAGGGCACGGAGCGCTGCACAGAGAAGTGATGACACGTGGGACTTCCACGCTAAGAGGCCATTTTTCTCAGAGTTGCAGCTTGGCCAGAAAGTACCAGCAGGTAAGAGAGATGAACTCTGTGGCTAACAGAGGAGCACCACCAAGGAGGTGCGCAGGGAGGGACGGCAAAGCCACCCGGCAGGCAGCGAGCGGCGCAATGCTCTGAAGAGAAAAGGCATTAACAACGGGGCAGAGAGACTCTGGGATTTTCCTCAGGGCGCACAGGCTTGGCAGAACCACTGACAACAACAGATTCTGCTACAGGAAAAATCTCTCACCACTTTCTCCATTTCTTCTCTCTCCCACTGAGTTGCTTCTCTCACCATTTCCATCTCCTAGGAGAGACCAAAGGTAGAGCCACTTCACCCAGTGCTCTCTCCCGCTCGGAGCACCTGTAACCTCAAGCAGATTTCAGAGTCCCCTCCTAGGGCACTGCTGATGAACGTGCTGGGACCTGCTGATCCCACAAAAAGGAAGTCTGCTACCCATGATGTGGCAGATTCCATGCACCAAGGGAGACACTAGTGACTTTCAGACACTTTTTCCACTCCGTAACACTGTAGCCAGAACACCCACCTTCTGCAGGATCTCCAGCTCTTCAGGGCTCAGATCCCGATCAATAGAAGAGATACTTTCCAGGCTGTTCTTGCGCCCAATACCAGTAGCAAAAGGGTTTGCAATAATTCCTGGAGACATCTACAAAGCAAAGAGGCAATAAAACATGGCGGAAGCCCGCAGTGTGCCACACAGACAAATTCCACATCTTGGGCTCACGGATACCCAAGATGATCCCAGGAAAATCAGAACTCTTTTGCAACTTGAAACCTTATTTCGGCTGTCAATTACTCAAGGGACTTGAGGCCTAAGAAGGGTGAGTTTAAACTGAAGCAGGTATAGAAGGGGGATAAGGTGACCAGGGACTGGGTACATAGCCTAGTGGAGAATAAAAAAAGCTTTCTTGCTAAACCTTGAAAATAGAAAGCTGAGAGGACATGGGATTGCTATGGGTGTTTCCCTGTGGGGAAAGGCAAACACCAGTAAACAGATCAGGAATTTATCTTAAATATAACACTGGCACAAGAAAAAATAGGCGTAAGTAGCCTGGACAAAACCAGCCTGAAAACTACATTTCTAACCAGTGCAGTCACACTGTGAGACAGTTCTGTGATCAGCAGAAGAGTTGTTAGAGGCTACTGCTTTTATGAACTGGCAACCACCTCCAGTTCGGGGTGCAGGAGACCAGACCTTGAAACCTGGGGCCTACAGAAAAATAATCCACAGCTACAGGCTGGGAAAACCCAGCAGTATTGTACGAAGAAAGAGGCGGGATCCTGCAGTGCTGGTCCCCAGGTGGGTCTCACCTCGATGGCAGCTGCGGCCTTGGGGTCGAAGCCGTCGCACACCAGCACCAGCAGCGCGTCGCCCACGCCGCGGAGGATCTGCACGGCCTCCGTGTGCGTCATCCCCAGCAGGCTCTGGTGGTTCACCTCCAGGATCCGCAGGCCCACCTTCAGGCGGCCGTCCCGGGCTGCAGCCCCCGAGGAGCTCACCTGCGACAAACGGCAACTGGGTGTCACCGGGGAGCGCGGAGACGGGGCCGTCAGGAAGGAGGGGACAGCGGGGAGAGGGCAGGGAAAGCCTCTGGAAGTACTTCAGCACACAGTGGGGCAGAAAAGGAAGAACGTGTACAGTTTAGAAGAGCAAATGGCTGTGGAACAAAGCTCTTATGGGATATAAAAAGAATCTGTACTGGAAAAGTGCTGTCCCAAGGAAAGAAACTGATTCTGTTTTGACAATGAAGCAGGTGAGAAAAAGCTCTCACTTCTAGGATTTACCTTCACAGAAAGGGAAATGTGATTTTTTTTTTCTTGGGAGAGAGGTGGAAAATGCAAGCATAGGGATCATTTGTGTGGATAACTGAGGCATAAAGATTTTTCATGGTCCTTGTGGCAGAGAGGGGCGTAACATGACACGTCTGTTATCCTCCATCCTCTCTTTCAGAGAAAGAACGTGTAACTCCTTTTTCTTTCCTCAGCAAGTCACAAGAGCTCACACCCGCCTCATGTACACAAGCTGTCACCAGGGGATGAAGCTACATGCAGTACATTGATAAGGCACATGAAAGCCAGAGTTTGCCGTGAAGAGCAGGAGCATCCACGTGTGTCTGAGGAGAACCATACACTGAGGCACGTGCTCTGCCACCGGAACGAGCAGCGGAGGCAAGGGGGTTTATTCATTCTTCCCCCTTCAGAAGAAGGAAAAGAGACTGCAGGACTTGCTGTGGATACAAAGTGAAAGAAAAGGAAAAAACCCAAAAATCCAAACACACACAAACAGGAGGCTGGGGAGAAATATGCAAAGCTGGGGAAGTGAGGGAAAAAAAATCCCAAACAAAAGTGAACAATGGTGATAGGAGAAGCTGCTATCAGGAATCAGACAGAAATACCAGACGCAATTAAAGCGCCTTAGGGAGAGGAGCAGGATCGCCAAATGGGCATTCCTTCATCTGGTGGGAAAACAAAAACCCGGGAGCAACGTGGGACACGGGCAGAGCCAGGCAGACCAGGTGAGGGCTTGGTACAGGGGGGCAGAGCCAGCCCCCCCGGAACGCCGGCGCGCCCATCCCACCCCGAGGCAGAGCCTGGCTAAGCCTGACAGAGGGCATTAGGCCAGTGCTACGCCAGGGCCTCGCAGGAGGAACATGGCAGCGTCAGGGGCTCCAGCAGAGCCTGCGGATCTGCCACAGGAGAGCAAGGGCAGCACAGGGGCACACGGGGGGCGAGGGCACCGCGGCTGGCTGTCAAGGTGGGGTGGGGGCAACGCCAGAGGAAGGCAGGAACGGATGGACTACTGCACATCACCTACTGCTGGGAGCAGGGAGGCAAAGAAACCTAAACCAGAGCAAAGGCACCAGTGTTTATTGCATGTATGAGCGCTGTTTTGGAGAAAACAACAGATAAATGTTTAATAAAGTACCTGTAGAAAGAGGAGAAAAAATGCTTCATGCATTTTTTAAATTTTTTAAAAAAATTTTTTTTAGGTTTTGGGGGAGGAAAAGCAGCCATGCGTGCCTACACATAACTTCTTCAGGGCTGTAAAACACTGAGGTATGTGTGAGTGCATGTGCATGCACAAGGGTGGTCCCATGCAGCTGAATGGAAACAGACCAAGTACTCACAGTTTCTTTTCTAGGGAGAGCAAGTGCGTAAGTGTGACAGTAGAACAGCCAGAAATAATGGGAGGAGGTAAAGTTAATGCAGAAAAATGTCCTTAATGCCAACTGTCATCTGTATTATTGACACGTCCCTGAGGGACACTGAGCTGTGCCCACTGAGACAGACCATGAATTTCAAACTGCAGATATAATTTATACTTCTCATGGTATTCAACTGGTAACGCTTCATCAAGAAGGTTTTAAAACTTTTTTTTAAAAATGACCATTAAGGGACTGAGTGGAAATGCAAATTAAGAAAAACTAAGGAGAAAGAAGGTTTTAATCAGACATCCAAGGAAGAGGAAGAAGCAGCAGCACTACTTCGTCTCTCAGTTACTGGAAATGCAAAATAAAAGAAGCAGAAAACCATTCTGGTTAGGACAGATAAGAGAGATCAAGGTGAAGTAACAGAGTTGAAGGGAGAGCAGAAAAGTTCAGTGTTTTGGTTCTCCACAGGCTAAACCAACTACTATTTTAAAAAAAAGGGGTGTGTGTGTTAAACTAACCCTGCAACGGGGCTAAACTGTAAACCTTCCAACCCCCCAAACGCTGTGCTGCAGGAGACAAAACCAAACCTAATGATGAAAAATAACTGCCAGTTACAATAACCTTAGGTTTTATTTTACTACTATTAAAAATATTGCAGTTGAATGTGCAGCTCTTTCTTTGATGGAGTGAATTTACTCTTTTAACTTGAAAACTCAAAGAAGTTATATCCAAGTAATAATGGGTGCTGAGTATTCCCTTTCTTTGAAAGCAGCCAATTATTAGAAAGGGTTAACTGGCAGTTATGCAGTGTCCACACCCCAGCAAGGATTATTAAGACCTCTAGAGCCAGAGCAGAGTTTCTACCCCACCAGGGATACCAGTGACACTAACGTGAACATCCAGAGTCCCTCTCTGGTCAGCAGCAAGACCAAAAATTACAGCACTTATCACCATGCCCTCCTGCTAACAAGGAAGAAGAGGCAATGCTTTTGGTAAGGGTCAGGAGGAGCATAACCTTATACACAGTCATTACTGAAAAGGAAAGGTGTGCTACTTCTTGGGGAAAGGTGACATGACAAATAGGTATGCACACAGGCAACCTTTACAAAGATAAGAGGACAAAATTACACACGGTGTGGCCCAGGAGGAAAGGTGAGCACTTCCTCAGGCTTGAGAGGAAAGAGCACCCATATCTGAGGGGGCAGGGAGGCCACAAGCACTTGGGGGAGCAACAGGAATGGAGAGGGAAAGGAAAGATGTAGGGGTTCATGTTATAGGGAAAAAAGCAAGAAGAAACGCTAGGCAAAATGAAAGCAAACATAAGAAATGAAAGAAGAAATTCTGTCGCTGTTGCAGAGGAGGAAAACTGGAAGAGATGCGCCTCGTTCCATGGATGGAGAACGCTCCAGGGAGAACTGATGTGCCCGGTGGGAAGTGGGGAGAGCGTCTGGAGCCAATTCCACAGGGACACCCCCCCCGCAGCCCCGGCACCGCAGGCAGGGGCTGGTACCTTGGAGATGAAGATGCCTTCATCGGTGGGATCGAAGGGATTGCCAGCGTGACCTTTCGCTCCGCCCCGGATGCTGATGCCCAGCTTTTCTCCTGGCGCCTTCTCAATGCATATTTCCTGTAAACACAGAAACACTCTCCTTGCTTCTGGGCTATGTTCAGACTGGAATTGGTGAGGAAACACTCCCTAGGAGCTTCCACATTGTGAATACCCCCAAAAAAACCTGAATTAGACCCCTTCACTCATTTGGCACAGTTTACTCCTTTTGATGAGGCTCTGCCCTTTTCTGTATTTCTGTCTCCTGTTCAGATCTGGTCTCCACGAAATCTGACCACTCTCTGACCACAGTATCACCATGGGCACAGTGAGAGACCCTGCCCAGTCCTCAGCTGGACACGTGCTTGCTACAAGAGACCAGATGCTGCCCAAGAGGAGGAAACTTCAACCCAAAGCTGTTGTATCCTATTCCCAGACTCCCAGCTAGGTAAAAAACTGCCTTCAGAAGTGATCCTTGTGTAAAGAGAGGTGCGATTCCCCCCGGTCCCTCCCTCAGGACCTACCTGCATCCCCGGTGGCGGGGGATCTCTCCTCACCAGCATGGTCAGCTCCTGGCTGTTGGAGAGTAGCGCGTTCACCGCCTCCTGGTGGGTAGCATGGCGCAGGTCAATGCTATTGACCTCCAGGATTCTGTCCCCCACACGGAGACCACTGCGAGATGCCAGTCCACGGGGAATGACCTGCAAAGAATCATTAATACTACAGCTGGAGAAGGAAATTCTGTCTCTCCTTGGAGAGACACTGCTTGTGCCCCATGGCTGCCCTCCAGTGTCCTCTGAGGCCTGTTTTGACTTCTCTCTCCGCAACCAAAGTTCCCCAGAAGGTAACATGTCTGTGAACACTGGCACAGAACGAAGTAAGATTTGCTCTAAAGTGTCATTTGACATGTTCTTACATTATCGTTTTTGTCTGAGCCAATCCTGTGTCAGCTGTTCCGTTACTGTGCCTGGGGCTGTAACCAGAAGCCAAGACAACGTTCTCACAAGACTCTGAAGGAACTCAGACGTTACCCTGCAGGGCTGTTGTCGGATGGGCATCATCTACCGTTACAAACGGCCACTGAGCCAGAGCCAGTGCAACCCAGCCCTCCACAAGTGCTCTTGAAGGGATCTCGAGAGCTGCATTTACTAACCAACAAACCTGATTTCTACTCCTGGTCAAACAGTAGAGTCAACAAAGAGAGCATGCGGATAGCAGGGCTTCCTGGGAAGAGTCTGGCTTTGGTAAATGCAAATCCTGCCTCACTGACCTGCTGAAGCACTATCAGAGAAACAGTGAACACAAGAAGGAAGGAATCTGGTAGATATAACTTCTGGATTTCCAAATGGTCCATCACAAGGTCTGAGCCCAAAGGCTTTAGAGAAGCTGTGCCCGCTGGTGGGAGCAAGGGCCACCATAATGGGCTGAAAGCTGGTCAAAGGAGAGGAGACAGAGGGCAGGGCTGGACAGCTGCTGCTCAGGACACAAAAGATCCACTGGTGGGGTGCCTGAGGGACTGGTGTGGGCCTGCTGTTATTCAGCATGTCCATCTGTGACCTGAAAAAAGGAGTGAGCAGTGAAATCTCCAGGTCTGCATGAGCTATTGTGCTGTTTTGAGCAGCCAAACACCACCCTGGTGGTGGTGAACTTTAAAAGAGGCAAGAAAACTGGACAAAAAGACATGGTGTAAGCTTCAGCACAGAAAACGAGTCTATGGAAAAACCCTAAACCGTGCGCACGCCACAGTGAACTCAAACTGGTGAAAGCTCCTACAGACTGTCACATGTTCTCTGAAATCACGGGCTCCACACACAGGAAGAGACCAAAAAAAACCCAACAAAACTTCAGGCATCATCAGAAAGGGCACAGAGACGTAGACAGACAGAATCACCCACATCCCCAGCACCACTCCGTTCTCTGCTCCCAAGATGGCAGAGCAGGAGGGACCCAGGCCCCGCGCGAGGACGGGGGTGACACGCCACAGGGGGAGGTGGCCGGCCCCTCCGAGGAGGGACCCAGCTCCCGGCGTCCTGGGCTACAGCCAGCGCCTGGGACCTCTCCCGAGGCCCCTGGGGTGCTCTGGTCGAGGTGCCTGGCTGGGGGTTGAAGAGGCTGCAGGATGAGCTGAGCCACTGCACAGCGCTGGTGAAAAGGAGCAGGAGAGCCCCGGGGTCTTTGCAGAAACCCTGCCACAGGGAGCTCAAAGTCCGTGTGGGACAGAAGGGTCAGGAGGGGCTGGGCTTCAACCAAGGGCAGGGGCTCCCCAGCTGGGGAAGGCTGGGAGCTCGAGGTGCCTGGCCACGGAGGGCAGGGTCCTCCTCTACTGACATGCCTGACAGGTACGGGGCCCTGCAGGGGATGAGGAGAAACACGCTGCGCAGGAGACACCCCAGAGCGGACCAGAGTCAGCGCCCAGCGAATCCTCCTGGAAACCACCTCTGCAGGCGACAGAGGCGCACACCCGCCCAGGAGGGCTGTTGCTAGCCAGGGGCTCGGATCCAGAACACGTGGAAGACAGCGAAGCAGCAGCGAGCCCTCGCAACGTGGCAGGTGGGAGCAGTGAGCTGGGGGGAGCGACTGTTCCCCACGGATCGGGGCTCGGACGCAGCGTCTGGGGCATGAGGCAGATGCTGATCCACAGGAATGAGTGCAGCAGGGGGCCAAGAGCAACAGGGGTGTAGAGAATGCTCTGTACAGAGAGAGGCGGGCAAACCCGGGGCTTTCCATTCTTAGGAACAGAAAGTCAAAGGAGACGTTGCTGCTGTCTTCAAGTACCCAACACAGTGGTCCAGAGAAAACAGAGACCAGGCTCTTCTCAAAGGCGCACAGAGGTACAGGGAGAGAGGCAAGGGATCCAAGTGGGAACAAGGGAAATTCTGGCTAGATATGGAGAAGAAAATGTCCAACATAACAGTAGTTAAACACTGGAAGAGGAGCCCAGAGAGGCTGTGAGATCTCCATCTTCACTGATACTCAGAACTTTAGACAAGGCCCTCAGCAAGCTGAGCTAGGCTGACGCTGCACCTTCACCTCTGCGGGTCCCTTCCAACTCCAATGATCCTGTGATGCCTCACACTGAGAACGACACAGCGGGGTCAGAGAAGGTCCAGAGAAAGGCAACTAAAATAATGAGGGCCATGGAGCAGCACCTTGCAAGGAGGAAGGCAAGCCACGACTCCTGAGTTTGGGGAGAAAGCTGCAGGAGGAGAATGAATGAGGTTTACAGGACTAAAGGTGGTGAAGAAGCCGAATACAGGAGTTCTGGTCACCAGCCCGGCACCACGAGAGCGGAGGAGCCCTCGGTGTGAGCGGTGGGACGCAGGTTCAGAGCCGCTCCAAGAGGGCTGCCTCAGGGGACAGGCAACGATGTGCTGGGACTTGCAGCCACAGGTCTTATAGGAGACAGATTCAGCGCGTCCAAGGGGCAAGAGACGTATGGATGTGGAGGGAGCTGGGCAGCAATGTCCCCTGTAACATCCCTAATCCAATGAGTGTGGATGGGCAGGACTGTGAAGGGAACGAGCCACAGCCAGCGGCTGGCTGGTGTCTGAACAGCATCAGCTGGTGCCCCCACTGGAGAGAGAACGTCGGGTCGAAGGGTGCTGGCCTGAACGCAGAGAGCACTTCTGTTCTTCCTCCCAGTCACACATCCACCCCACTAACACTTTCTGAGTGGTGGCTGGTTTCCTGAAACGCCTGCATCTTTCCAGGATTTGGTAAAAGCTAATGTAAGCTCAGCAATTTCAAAAGCTGACTGTCCCCAAAGAATTCAGCATCAATGATAGAGGTTTGCAGGCTTTTACATGCCACAGATTTCTACAACAGCAGCAGTATCTCTACTATAAGCTAATGCTTTACATAGGCACACGTCCCTCCCCATCCCTTTGGCTGGGTTTTTTTTCAGTCTATACTGTACTTCCCAGGCTCTTGCACCAAAGCCCTTCATCTGGAGCCCACTTAATGAAAGAGCAGGATGCCCACAGCTCGGCTGCTCCCACAGGACTCTACCTTTGAAATGAAGACCCCTGGTTCATGAATCCCAAATGGGTGGCTCGAATGGTCGCTGCCTCCTACGATGCTGAGTCCCAGGGGACCACCTGCTTTCACGAGGTGAATCTCCTTGAGGGAACAAGAAGCAGAGTCAAAGGCAATAAGGGGTGTCACAAACACTGAGAGACACGGAGTCAGGGATGCTCTGTGCGAGCACGAGGTGAGTGCCTACAGGACAAGGGGCCTCCCCGTAACCTCCCACGCCCCGGTAACACCATGGGCCGGCGCCCACCAGACCACTGATTTTTCAAGTGAAAAATACCCAAAATTACAGGATGCCACAGTCCAATGGACAGACTCACCTCAATGGGGTACTGATCCTCCAGGCCTTTTGAGAGGTGGTTCCTCTGCAGCGCCGGCGTCTCCTCGGGCGGGCTCTGGCCATGACCGGGGGGCGGCGGTGGGGAGTGCATGCGCAGGCGTGGGGCGCCCGGCGCGTCTCCCTCGCCGAGCTGCTCTGCTCCCGCTCTCTCTACCAGCAGCACGATGGTGGGGGAGGATGCGGTAAGCAGCGCTACTGCCTGATCATGCCTGGCTTCTGTCATGTCTACCCCATTGATCTAGAACGACCCGCAAACAGCGTCAGACATGGCCCAGCACCTCGCCGAGCGCCCTGAGGGACCCGTCCTGCTGCAACACTGCCCCTTCTCAGAAGCCTCTTCCCCAGAGCACTCTAACTCACCCACTTCCTCCTGTCTGGCAAAGGGACAGAGGCACCTGCTCATCCCCCCTGACCACAGTCCTCTTCCTAGACAGTGTATCAGCCCCTCTCCCACCTTCCTGCTGCACCTCCAAGGCCTAACAGCTCTGGGGATGCTCCAGGAGCCCATGTAGACCATGGATGATGCTCCAGCTCCTGAGGGACCCCAAAGCCAGCTACTGCCTGGGCTACACTGTGGCTGGCTCGTTACCAGGAGAATCCCTGTCACTCCTCCCCGGCTCCAGGAGGGTCCTTGTCACCCCTCCCTGGCTCCAGGAGGGTCCATGTCACTCCTCCCTGGCTTTGCATTCCAGCTTTCCTGCTGGGTCAGGACAAAAGCATCCCAAGAGGCTGCATTAAAGGCATGGGTCCAAAGATCTCAATATGGGAGGAAGACAAAACAGTGACTCCCAGAAGTGATGCCACAGCACACTAATGTGCCAGAGCATCAGCTGCCTCTGCAGGAGGCCATTCCCCTGTATCAGCCGCTCTCAAAGCCCAGACACAGGATCTGAAGAGCATGATCTGACGTGGGACAGGACTGGCCGCTGGGTTGCTGTCTGCCCACACTGGGCAAGGCCACGGCCGTGTGGGGAGGTGTCAGTTTTAAGTCATAAAAAGTGCACCCCAGGGATAAAATGACTTGGAAGCACTGAGAAAGATACTCTTCTCATCCACAGCCACTGAGTGGCTGACATGAAGGGAAAACTAGAATTCTTTTGGACAAAACCCCATTATCCCACATGCTATGCCAAATAATTTCAATCGTCTTGTGGTACCAGTGGAAGATGCAATGCTTCAGACCAAGAGGTACTTCCAGTACACACAGGGAAGCAGCAATGTCAGTCACACAAAGCACTGAACTCATCTGAAGAAAGGTGTACTGTTCTCATCCTTCACCCACACAGATCATCTAAGTTATCAGGATGTGCAGACAAAAGCTGCTGCAGCAGGCAGGGGAGCAGAGAGCCTTTCCTACAAAATTCAGATTTAAGACAGCTTGCCTAGAAACTCAAAGGACCAGAAAGGATGTGACTGTCTCCAGAAACGTATGAGGGGCAGAATATTGAGGAGAGCCAAGCTAGAAAAACACTGCCAAAAGGACAAAGCTTCCCATTAAAAAGTTGAAGATGAAAGTTAAAAATGTTTCTAGGTCCTGGAAAAGCTTTCCAAAATGAACAACAAAGACACAAAAATAACAGCTGTCAAGATGGAGTTTGATCAACTCACAGGACTTTGCAGCCCGACTCCTCATGGTCTGTTCCCGAGAAGCGCCGCGGCCGCTGCCGCGCTGCCCCCCTGAAGCCGTTTGTGGACAGGGCTGACACAGACCCGCTGCCACGGCTGCGCCCAGAACCACCAGAAACGGCCTCACCCGACCTGCCCACCCTGCCCGGGGCTGGGGGGCTGCCCCCACACCAGAGGAGCCCCCCAGCCCCGCGGCACCTCCTGTCCCCAGAGGGACACCCCGGCACCTGCTGCGGAGATGTGCTGCCGGCACCCGCGTGGTGCTGAGAGCGGGCAGCAAGCAGCAAAGATAATGAATTAAACACAGAGGTGCACAAACCTCGGCAAAATGCACCCAAGGGAGCCAAGACACCAGCGATGGATCGGTGGAGGAATCGCTCAGATGGGAACCGTAAAGAAGCGCGACCAAAAGCTGGGTAATCGACAGGCAGAGGAAAGGGAGAGGACAGCTCTCGTGGGCAGGAGCCAACTGGCTACAGGAAACTTTAAGGGGGATTGTGGGAATGTGCAAAACTTATTATGGGATGTGTAGCAGAAGGATCACAGGTGGGAAAGAGGAGTGGCCAAGGAGAGGGGAGGAACAAGC